GAAGAACGTGGAGAAGAAATCAAACTATGGAAAAGATTCATTCTGAGCAAGACAAACGTGAGATTTCACTTCTTGATCCAGGAATTGGGGCAGGGGAGGAGGAGGCATTACTCCTGTAGAGTAAAAAAACAGAGGGATTTTCCTTCCTCTGAGGAGGAAAAAATATCCATGAATGAATCAAAAGATATTGCCTTAAGTAGTCCTGAATTTCTCTGAAAGAGTTCTGTCAAACAACAAAAGCATGTACAAGCACTGGAGAAGGGAGCTAGAAGTTCAAGCAGCTGCACTCCCTGCTTCACCTCCGCACCAGTCCCCAAGAAACGGGACGTGGCACCCTGCTTCCAGGGACAGGCAGGACGGCAGCGAAGCCCTATCAATGAAGATCAATTCAGTTTGGGGCAACGCCAGGAGAAATGGCTGTTTATTAAAAAACAAATAAACCAAACAGAAAACAACCACACACACACAAGAATAAACAACCCACAGAGCACTGTGGTGCTGACTCACTGGATGAGCCAATGCAGGGAACGGATGTTAAATATAGCTAAGTCACCATGAGGATTGGTGCCGTGGGAGCATCCTCCAATTAACCAGACATGCACATTGCACAAGCACTGACTTCAGTTGCAACTAAAAGCATCTGTACAGCGAGAGCAGCGACTCCTGAACGCAGCACATCCAACCCCGTCACCTTGAAATTCGACTCGCCATCAAGACTTGCTGTAGTGACGTAACAGGTCCCATCAATACTACTTGAGGCCAAAAATATCAAGTCACAGGGGAAGGTCTCATCTGCTCTCACTTCTACTATGTCTCCAACCTGGAAGAAAAGAAACGTTTGAATTAACCTTTTCATAAAGCTCTTCAGGTTATTATTAGCTGGTTGCAGATTTAACTTCTCTCAAAGTCTAAAAGAAATCAGGTTCACTAAAAGGGAAATCAGAGTTTAAGATGATTAAAACAACAAACAAAAAAACCACCCATCATCCAAAGTGATTCAGTTATTCACCTTTCACAAACCAGAACTGCTGCATGAAACTAGCTACAGTCTCTGCAGCAGGAGCAAAGCATCAGAAATTAAGAACCTGGGCATTTATCCATTTACAGGAACTCCACACTTCTAATCCCCTAAACACGTGGCAGCTGTCTGCCACCCTCTCCACAGGGCATAGGATTTCTCTGTTGAGAAGAGGTATTTAACTGCGTAAGACTCAGGTTCCTAAGTTTTCTCATGTCCTCACTTCTGTCTTCAGTTCTCAACTCCAGTTGCTACAAACGTGCTCTAGCTATGTTTCCCTAGCCTTTGAAGGAGCAGGGTTTCAGGTTTTATCCTTTCTCTTTTTAAGATGGGACTTCACAGCTGCCACATGTTTTTTCCTCACCCGCTCACGCCAGTGTGGGTCGGTGGGGGGGGGGGGGCGCGCAGGGGGCACTGCAGCTATGACAGGGAAAGCAAAGGTTTAAGCTTATTTTGTAGTCGAGACAGCGCATTCGGTAAACACCTAGCTCTGCAAACGTAGCTTGCTCCCCAGGGTCTCTGTGCCGAGCACGAGGCCTGCGGGCCCAGCTGCGCTGCTGGGCAGAGCCGGCTGCTTTGCCGTGCACGGTGCACAGGTACCCGAGCATCGCACTGGGGCCCGACAGGTCCACCCAGCTCAGCCCTCAGGGACTGGCCACGTGTTGCATTTGTTATTTATTTCTCTGCAAAATCCCGATGAAGCAAGAGACTTTGCACTAGCCTGAAGCGTGGGGTGATAAATTAATGTCAAAGCTGGTGCACTTTTTCGGTGTCCTTAGGAGAGCTGGAAATAGAAAAAGACTGCTTGTCCCAGATAAATGCACAACGATGACAGATCTGTCATTTGCCAGCCCTGGTGAAGCTTTTGCAAGACAGCCTTTCAAAGGCAGTCAAACAAAGGAAGCTTCAGTTACGAACTGGGAAGGGTTCTCGGAGCACCTCGCCTGAAAGCGGGAGACCGAGGCAGTTCGGGGAGACGGCCGAGTCAGTCTGAGCGCAGCACCTCCGCTCCCCCTCGCGTCGGGGTGCCCATCACCTCCCTCTGAGCTCCCTTTGGCAGCCTAACACCCCAAAAATACGCACCCCACATACACCCAACACCCTAATTTTCCCATTGGCTTGAGTGAGAACTACACCTGAATGCTCAACTGAAAAAAAAAAAAATTACCTTGATTTTTTCACTCTCTTTCTGCACTTGCTTTGCATTTTCAACAATGAAGACATTACTTTTGTTTACTTCGTTGTCAGCTCTGTGTCTCAGCCAGTCCTCGTATCCCTAGGCACACAAATACAGGCAGCAAACTCGTAACAAAGCAAGTAAACTACTGAAATAAGGTGAGTGGAGATGGAGAGAAAGGGAGAAAAAAAAAAGAATAAATTCAACAGTCCTCAGAACTCTTTCGTGCCTGATGAGAGTAGCTCACGCTGAATCGATTTATTTAAAAAACTTCATATACATATTTGACAGATTCAGAACAGATTTAGAATAACACACACAAAAATAATCTACATGCATTGCATGCAATGAGCAACTAAATTACTGCAGCATGCTTTCATTATCCTCAGTGTTGGCAAGAACAGGCCTATAACGTGAATAATAGGCTTCGTGCCCTGTGATTCTTCCCCAGGGTAAAGCAGCACAAGATTCTTTAGTCCTCGCTAAAAGAATAAAACATTCATATTTGAAGCAGATGGATTTTGCTCTAGCTCTCCTTTTCTGGCCCCTGCAGAGGAGACTTGTTTTATTATTTAATACTTCTGTAGAAGAAATTTAGTGGCACACGTGCATATGACAGGAAGAAAAAGGTGTTTTATCACAGCAAGAAGTAAGGGGAATACGTATTTTCAGGACCATCTAGACATTTGAATGGACCCAGTCCTTGTCATTTACCAACAAGGGAGCTCAGCACAGGCTATATTGGGAACGTGTCTCTCTTCTGCCAAGGCTCAGAGAACACGTCTAAAAGGAGGAGAAACAAATTCCAGTAGAGCCAGAACTAGAGAGCTAGCTACAGTAGTAACACTAATAGCCACCAGTTTGCTTTCAACAATATGTATAGACAGCATTTTACGTTGTCAAATTCATAAACTGGAGATCTATGTTCACGTTTGACATGCAGTCCCTCCAGAAAAGCACCAGCATATCTGACATTCAGAGAAGTGGTCATCAGGCTCACCAGCTCGTTTTGGCAATTGCCGAGTACGTTTAAATGCACGCCAAATTCATTATTTTTTTCCACAGCACACAGGAAACCTTCCTGTGGGAAGCAAGCATCCTCTCCCCGAAGGGATCCCGTTACCTGCTTGATAGCTGTGACAGTGATCACAAAGAAAAGGGGAAGCCCACTGGTCACCGGACTGGTTGGAGTATCCACTATGACCTGCACAGGGAAGGAAAAAAAAAAAAACCAATAAAATAAACGGTGACAACCTGTTCTCAGGCAGTAGAAGAAATAAAAGCTCTGGCAATGGGTGGTGGAAGAAAGCTCCGTACGCTCGGTGAGGAACGCCGGACTCGGGAAGGCAGGGGCGCCCGCGCACCCCGAGGAGCGCTTCCCCTGCCTCCCAGGGGACGATCCCACCACAAGGGCGCGGGAACGCCGAGCTGCCGGGGAACCGGCCCAAGAGGGAACCGCACCGACGCTCGCTCGGCGCTGCGTCGAGCTGGAAGCGCTTCTGTACAAAACCGGGCATAAACAAGACTTTACTACGGTGGTCAGCGCACGCGTTTCTCTAGGCGCAAGCTAGTAAAATGGATTTAATCAACTTCTGTCTTACCTTGCCCAGACCTCAGGTGGGAAAAAAAGCCCATAGGAAGTAGTTTAAAATCTAAGTTTGGCCCAGCACTAGTAGGAAGTAAGAGCCTGGATGAGCAGGCACGTCTGCCACCCCAAAACACGGCCAGCGGGAGGGCAGCCCCCCCCCCCCCCCCCCTGCCGGCGCAGCGGAGAGACGGGCACCAAAAGGCCATTACTGACACTCAGAGGTTAAAAATAACATGCGTCAGCCCCAGATAACTATGAAACGTGTTTCAGAACAGAACATGAATATTTAAGTGAAGCCCTAGAAGTTAACATTTTGCCTTTGAGGCCTGAAATTCAGAGTTGGGAATGCAATTTAAGCACTCTACAGAGACTATTACCAGGGCCTTCAGGCCTACAGTAGAGTCCTTCAAGTTAGACGTGATGCTGAAGGCACGCCGTGAGCTAGCGCTGCGGCATGGACCAGCCCCGGCAGGGACAAAGCACAGCAGAGCACCTTGGCCTTTAATTAAACCTTTGGGGTGTGGGAAACAGCTCTTGATGGTACCATGATTAGGCCCAAAGAGGAAGCGCGGGTCCATAATTAGGAGGGAGTAGCATAAACTGGGGAAAGCTGCCCCCCGAGCCACACTGATGAGACTCATCATGGACACGCTCGCCTCCCGCACTCGTGATATGAGGAGCCGCTCGCCTCCTGGGCGGGCCAGGATGGAGATCCCCCCGCAGGGTCTGCGCCGGGACGGGGGCATGTTTTACGGCTTCCCCCCCACCCACAGCAAGGCTTCCAGTAGCACCTCCAAACACCGTGCAAAGAGCCAAAGCAAGCTCAGGCAGACCCAGAGCCGACGGGGAAAACCTCAGGTGCGCTTTTCAAACAGGCTCACCGAAACTGGCTGCTTTTCCTCCTGCCATCCCCCAGAGACGGTGGGAGCACAGAGGCAGATGTGGAGGGCTGCAAAGGAAAGGGCCGGGGAAGCTCACCAGAAATGCTTTGTGTTCCCACAAAGCAACTTTGTCTTGCTCCATTTATTTGCGTTTCGCTGGCACCCTTACAAAACAACAGAATCTGTATTTATTGTTTTAGGCTGTCTGTAAAAAGCTATGTTAAGCACAAAGCTGTTCTCATCTGCTGGGAGGAAGCTACTTGGAAATTTTTAACTCTTTGAAATAGCTGTACTTTGCAATTTTATCCTGCATCGCTGGACCCAGACGCAGAAGCGATTCAAAAAGATACTAAGAGGGGAACAGAAACGTCACAGAAGTAGCCAGGTTAAGTGATACGAGTTTAGGGGGAGAGTAAGTCAACAGATAAAAACCAGACATCTCCAGGAGCACAATCTCCTGGTTCACTCAAACGGATCTGAAACGTTTACAAACGGAAAGCTGTAGAAACTGGGCTTTTGAGAACCCCGAGAGGACTGTACAAAGTGCTGTATGGACACCTGGCACAAAGCACATCGTGCCCAGATGGCCACGTATTCAAGTCAACACTGATGAACAGGCCAGCTAACCAAAATTCAGCTTGCAAAATTGGGCAGATCTTACAAATACAAGAGGAATTTTTCTTTTCACTAAGAAGGGCAAGTGAGAGAGCAGAGATATTTACGCAATGCTTCCTGGCGTTCCCACAGCTACCCTGCAGGAGCCTTTTCTGCGCTGGACAAGATCCAGTTGTGAATATATATTTATTCAAGCAAACAATATGATTTCTGTTCCTACAAATGCTATATTATAGATGTACGAATACAAATAGTAGATAGTGTGCACAGAACAACTCATATACGTACTTGGAGAGTGCTGCTGTACTCTTTACACATCCCCTAGCTCAAATACTGGTCTTCTCCCCTTCCCCATTCATGGCAGGCAGAGGGACACATGAACAACACCCCAGAACAAAGACTCCTTTGAAGTTATTTTCAAGATGTTTTAAGACTTAATTTGGATCCACTTAAAAGTGGCAAAATCCTTCTGTTATTAACCGTTTCCTCCTAATTCATTGTTTACAAAACTGAAGACCATAGTCCAGAAACCATCTTTACCAACCAAAAGGAACATTTTCCATTTCTGGCACCTCCTACATTAGCTTATGGCTGTCAGGTTGGTCTCTCTCTAAAAACACACATTGACTATACTTATTCTAAGCCGCCCTTTCCTCCAGAAGTTTATTCAGTTACCTTTAAATGTTGCAATAGATGAATCAAACAGTTATTCATAACCCTGTTAGCATACTACTTGCTATTTTGTGTTTAACCCATGGACTTTCTCTTCCTCTCTCTGAAAGGAGAGCTGAATAACATGCAGTTTGATTACAGACTGCAGGGCAGGTAGACCAGCTTCACCAGAGAGGTGCTGGCAGGGCTCTCAGTGGAACATGCTGCCTCCTTAGAAAGCTCAACGGTACGGAGACCTGTTACCAAGTGCCGTGATACTTCACTTGCAATGAAGCACTTAGGGTAATTCTATTAAAGTAATTAAAAGATAAACATCAACATTCAGCTATAGATGCCATTTATCAAGGTAAACCCTTGACATTTTCCGTTAATGGAATTACCTTGAATGCTTAAAGATAAGTGAAGTCTCCAGCAGTTCAGAACGAAGAGTGCATGGGAGCTGCCCATTACTCTACAGGGTAGCAACTGTGTTAGTGCCATCAGGTTGGTTTGCTTGCTTTTGGCTTTTATCTCTAATGGAGCACGTGGGTTGCTACCTTATTCTAGCCCACAAAAACAGAAACAAGAAAGGACAGGGGGCTCTTTGCTCATCTGCATACGTCTATGTCTAAAATGGGTAGCAGCTACACTGCGATGAGTTGTTCAAGTACAATCAAGAATATCCCTTGTTAACGTCCAGAGGGTCAACAGAGCAAACGTAGCACTGTGTCACTAAACAACCAGCTACACAAAAAGGACATCCCAACTCCAGGGCATTGCCTCAGTACGAGACAAGTTACAAATGCATCCTGACAACACTGAACAACGCCAACAAAAATCAAGCGATGGACGGGAGCCAGCTGATGCCGGGGAACAGCAGCCTTTCGTGTAACGCTGCCATTAGGAGCCATCCACACTGGTTACGCTGGGATCATCTGTTTCTCCAGCAGCCACTGGAATAGTCGTAAACCCTAATCCTTTACTCCAAGGATAAAAACGTTCAGACACCCACCTTTGAAACTAGAACGGACTAGACTAGAGCAGACTAGAACAAAGTGATACCCCAAGATCTGAGTCGACAAAATCCCAGAGAAGCCTCCCTAAGGCAGACTGGTCGCAGTAGCTCTGCTGCACCATTTATTAGACTGCAGGAACAGGATTTTTGATGCCTGTTTTCAGCTGGGGAGTAAGTTGTCTGTCAAACTTGAGGCCTCAGTATAAAAAGGGGAGTAAGCACGCTGTTGGTGATTTTCCCAAACTTCCTTCCCATCCCTTCCCCCAAATATATTTGGGCAGCCTGCTTTTCTTGTCAGTTGACAGAAGAGAAACACGAGTACTCAGGTTTGCTCAGGATTTGTCTCTTATCTCACAACACAAAGGAGAGCAGAAAATATTTATCTGCATGTAAAATTTGCTATTTCACCTGTGTAAATCAACTTCCTGAAACTCCAAATTCCCAAAGCTCGTGTTAGGAGCTCATCTGAGTCTCACTGCAGACAACCTGTCTTTCCTAGTTGCCTTGAAACTTTCTACAACTAAGACCTAACAAACCTCATATAACTTGGGATATTGGCATATTGTTTTGCAGCAGAAGTAGTAAAGCAGCTGAAGTTAGGTCTTAACTAATTGAGCAGCACTCAATATACATATTTCTACTGCTTGACTGCCCTTAACTGGTTTAAGTGTTAAGAAGGCTTTTAAATTGCTTCAGCAGTCATTCGAATATGGTCTCAGGCCCAAATATTTTAATCGTTATTACATCTTGAATTGTGTGCCAGAATTACAGCACAGCTTCCAATAAAAACAAACCAAAAAACTGAACACCAAGAGAGTGAGTTTTAAATATCAATTCTTTTTCAAGCTGTGCTCGAAATCAGTATCTAAAGAAAAAAACCTTGGTACCAATCCCAATGTAAAAACCTCTTACCTGCACAAGGAAGATAATAAGGAAATAAAAGTTGGCAATTCTTCTGAACTGTTCAAAAAGGTTCTTCGGGAGGAAGTTCCAGATTGTATACTGTGGGATAAGAGAGAAACAGGACTCTGACTTTCCAGAGGTCATTGCAAACAGGTCAAGACAGAACTCACCATGGACTGTACCTACAGACCAGTGCAGAACAGGGAATGAGTTTTCATCTCAAAATAAGGCAAACTGCTGTACCAGGTAAATAAATTCCTGTTATAATTTCATCGGAGTTGCAGCTGGAGGTGGAGCCCGCGGTGGCCAGGTGCCCACCACGCCTGGCAGGGACTCGCAGAGGTGATTCCCTGGTGTTTTTGATTAATGGATGGCTGTTAATATTAGCAGACTTTTGCAGAGCTCCAGCTCTGCTGCCTGGAGCCGCGGCACTGGGGAACTGCGGTGCGCCCTGTGATTTTGCAGACCGGCTGCTGCTGATTTACTGCAGCCGCGGAGGTGAGCTGCTCACAGCCTGCGAACCGCCCCGGCGCCAGGCACCTCGCTAAAACAGCGGTTCTGTGTTTTATAGACTACTGCTGTAATATGTGCATGTCAGAGGGCCATGCGGTGACAGGCCATTTCATGAACAGGCTTCACAAGGTATTACAGTCTGCTTAATTAGAAGTTACTTGACTAATTCCTTGACGATGCAGCCCCTTACCCACTGAGGTGCATCACAGCCAGCTGCCTGAGCAGCCCGGGGGCCCTGCAGACAAAGGGCCAGGCGACCGTTTTAAAAACTTCAGCGAGACGCTGAGATGCAACCTAACTCCTACTGAAACTTCCAACAAAGCACCTCCAATTTTGGCTCCCTCCACGGCTTCATGAAACGGCTGAAAGCGAGCCAAGAAAATTTCACCAAAATTCCTGTTTTGTCAGACTAGTCCAAGGCACACAGTTGGAAATGGGGAAGGATAACAAGGATAAAAACAGGATTTGCTTCAGCAAACAGCTTCTAGATAGACATTTGAAGAAATATGACTTAATGAAGTAACGTACATTAAAAGGAATTTAAGAACAACATGCAAAACAATGGGTCTAATATTTGATCTTTCGGGGTGCCTTGAATCAATAAAGGATAATGACTTGCAAAGACTCAAGAACAATGTTCACCTTATTTTAAAAAAGCCTGGGCAGGTAGGAAAAGTCCATGCTTAGCGGATATAAAGGGACGCAAAAGAACAAGGACACGACATTCAGAGATAATCAAAGACAATCAAAGATAATTCAAAGATAATCAATTAAAAAATTAGTGCTAAAACAAGCCATTTACCAGAGAACTAAGACACAGAAAACTGTTCCCCGAAGGATGCATCTTGTATGTCAGGGAAGAGTCAGTGGGAATACTACATAGTTTAAAAGTGTTTAGACTTGAAACTTTTCCTGATACATGCATTCAGTACAGGGATATGAAAAAAAACGAGATCCAAGTAAAACAAATTTTTTACAGCTCAAGCACAGTAAAACTGAAGCCTCACTGTATGCTGAGCATCATGAATCACAAGTAACGCAACATGTATCCAGCTGTGTTGACACTATTTGATGCCACTTGTTTGACATTTTACTTAAGATTTTTTTCAAGTCGTTTGAAATAACTTCAAAAATATCAAGGAAAAAACTAAACAGAAGGTAGACAGGTGTCATGACACAGTTTTCCCACAATAAACAAAAGCTACATTAACACAATATGAATGTTTTCATTCTCATCCAAAGGGATAAACAGAACATGGTTATTTTTGTCCTACTTGAAGAGAGGAAAAAAAGAACACAGAACAAAAACAGGAGAATCACATTTATCTGTCCATTTATAAAATAATCCCCACACCCTTTCCCGAATCTAAGTTGCTGTCATAGCATACGCTCCATTATACTTACCCTTCCCTTTCTTCCAAGGTGAAAGCCAGGAAGTATAAAAAAACATTGCCATGCGCTTTGCTATGCTCTAGCACAGAAGGGAATTGTACATATCCTCACCGGGACGGGCGGGAAGGAAAAGAAGTGAGGAGAAGAACTGGAGTATCGGCGTGAGATACACTTTGGGCTGCATCGCAAAAGAAGTGAGGAGAAGAACTGGAGTACCACGTGAGATACACTTTGGGCTGCATCGTATAGGCTGTAGCTTAAGCCCTCAGGAGGTGCAGGGGGTTTCAACACACCCACTAGCAACGTCTGCCTCAGGCTGATGCAATCCTGCTTCACTCGCATGTCTTTCGTGAGCCTCAGCAAAGCGCTTTGCACCAGGCTGGTCCATCCTGCCACCAGCTCCTCGAGGGCAGGTGCTCAAGGCAAAGGGGCTGGTTAATGCTCTGGTTGTGCGGTTGGCATGATACCGGCATACCTCGATGGCTGCCACTTGCAAAGGGAGACTTTAATTACCCCAAGATGGATTTAAAAGGGTTTAAATGTCAAAAAAAAAAAAAAAAAAAAGACATGATCTACACTAAGATGAAGCTCAAGTCCCTGCATAGGGAATATGTGCAAACGAGGATTAGACAACAAGGCTATCTGTATTAATAGTGCAAACTCACCTTGGATGAGACGATCCTATTATCGCAGAACTTCTGCGCACCGTATGCGTCCGTTTCCGAAACTGGACGGTGCCCAACCACCACGGTGCGCGTACCGACTCGCTTCTCTTCCCCGGCACACTGCCAGAGACAAGCAGGGAAGGCAAATTAAGCTTCTAGTTTTAAAAAGCCTACGCGTCGGCATGCATTGGTTCAGACTTCGAGCAAGTCGTTCCGTTCGCGGGAAATAAGGCAGGTTCACTTCTCCGCCTCAGCAAAAGCGCACGGAGCGGCAGGGACGCACGTAAGGTCGTTTAGCCAAACCCCAGCAGAGCCGAGACTGCAACGGGGGTCCCACGCGGCCGCCCGCCGCGACCCCGGCCCCACGGGGCTCAGCTGCCCGTCTCGCGCTGCGCGGGGGGGGCTGCCGCGGGCCG